ACACACACACACACACACACACACACACACACACACACACACACACAAATAAGCAATCTAGGGCACAATAACGATTCCAAATTCCGAGGCTTGAGGGTATTTTGTTTCCCCCCTGAAGGAAGCGCGAGGGCAGCTCAAGAATTTACTTGGAGAAAGGAACTAGGAGATGAGGTTCAAGGTCTCCATGTAGCCAACATCAGTAGGGGTTCTGAACCCCTCTGGGAGTGTAATTATCACAGTCAGCCCCCACTTCCCCTCACCTGACAGCCCCTGCATCCCAGAGAAATGTCCACACACATCACGTTTCCGCACAAGGTCAGGAAGTGCAGGACCCTGAGGCCGGCCAAGAGCAAACCACTGATGGCAGGTCCAGAATCCCAGTGCCGGAGCGGTTGGTCCCTGAATGGGAAACGGTTTGTCCTCTTTCTGCCCCCCCAAGACCCTGACTGGAAGCGCTCAGCTCTCCGGAGCCTCCCACTGCCATGTCCCCACAAACCCTGAGCCACCCTTTACACTTGGGACCCCTGGCTTTTCTCAGAAAAGGCGGAGTTTCTCACTGTCCCATCCCCATGAAGACCTGCCAGGCCTGGCTGCACGGAAGGAGTGATGCCCGTGAACTTTTTCCTCTCTTGAACCAGGTCTGTAAAGCAGAGCAAAGCAGAGGTGCTCCGGTTGAAGAGGGGGGTGGGAGAAGACCCCCCCCCCGACTCCTAGGTCTCTGGGAAGCACAGTTAGAAAATGCTGGACTAGCAGATTCCTAAGTGCCCTGCAGCCCAGAAATGTTATGATCAGAGACCCTGGATCTAAAACACCCCCCCCACCATCCCACGGCCAGTCACCCATAAAACCAACACTCGCTTGACTAGTTATGCATTCCTTCTTTCCACATCATTCCATTGTAGTGAACTGATGAACTAGCCATGCTTCAGGGTTCAGGGGGTGTTATTAGGTTAATGACCCTGTCCAGCCCCTTAAGGGAGCTGCATAGTAATGGGAATCACTTTGCTGTAAGTGAGAAATGTTAAAATATATTTTTTGCATTTTTTAAAATGTTATAAGCAACTGCTGTACCATAGAATTACAGTGCAAGAGAGGTGAAAACTCCCCCTCTCCTCTCCCTCCAAATCCAAGGCCTGGGATAAAGCGGTACTTAAGTGATGAGCATCTTGGCAGGCCTGGTGATTCATGCTAGGAGAGCTGGGTCCCTCCACCCTCCTGGGGCTCTGGCCTGTGCACGTGCTGCTGACCAGGGTTCTTGGTCCCCTTAATCAATAGAAATTGATCAGAGGCCACACAAGAAATTCAGGCAAGCCTTTACTGGGGCCCCTGCTGCAGCAGGGAGGAGCGAGAACAAACAGGTTCCCTTGCCTGCTTCCCAAGGTGGGGCGCGAACCTGTTCCTCATATGGGTGAGGGTAGGGGTGTGTCCATGGGTCCGGCTGGAGGGGGGGCATAGGTGTTCTGCCCACCCCTTTGGTGTTGTTGGGTGCAGGGGGCACGCACAGGACCCTGCTTTTGCTCCCGACGCCCTGTTTTGCTCCCTGGCTCTTCGGGGGTGGCAGTTGGGTTTTTTTGGTCTCTTTGTATCTTGTCCAGAATTTGCCCAAATTCGCGAGCAGGCAGGCATGCAGTTATTTTTAGTCCCTTATAGTTTCTTTGTATTTTGTTGCTCGAGGAGACGAGGAGAAGTGTGTCCAGAGGCAAGCATTGCAGCACTGCAGGAAAGGGTCCCAGGCCCCAGCCTGTCTTACAGGTGCTGCCATGACAGCCTTTCCTGGAGGCTCATAAAACATAGGGTTGTATGAATTCCAGCCCTCACTCCCTAAACAAGTGCAACTCTGAGCCTGTCACTTGCTCCTACTGCCTTCCTGAGATAAAGGGTTAACCTTTATCTGACCCCGCAGGGAGAAAACCAAACCATAAAAGCATCAGTCTCATGAAGACCAGACAATCAGGGCTGAATAATCATCAGCGCTTCCAAACCACCAGGGGTCTGAGGTCTCTACAGACCTACGCTTCCAGGAGCTTTGCATTTATCAGGACTGGCAAGAAGCATCGAGTCCAGCACGACACGTTGTCTTGTGCAGACTCTACTTGAACACTTCTGGTGACGGGGAGCTCTCCACCTTGCGTTGGGAGAAGGTCTTGATAATCAGGAAGCCCTCCCTCACAGGGAGCCCAGACCCTCTTCCCAGGTTGTGCACACCCCCTGGGGCATCTACTGGGCCTCGCACGTATAGGAGCTCCCCGCACACCTCACAAGATAAAAAATGCCCGTCTCACATCAAAGAAACTTCTCTGCATTATGAGTCACCCGGCATCTTTCAGGCTGGACATTTTCTCCCCTAATAACCAGACCTTCCCTGAGCTCAGCCAGGCCAAATGTTTCATCTCCATGCGTGTCCTGTTTGAGCACCAGGGGAAGTCGTCGTGGGTACATCTGATCTTAGAGCTGGGAGCAAACAATACATCAAAGGCAGCTCCTTTTGAAAGTAGCGACTGCCCTGTTACAATCCAGCGACAAATTCCACCTGGCATTCCAGGAGGAAATCCCAGCTGACCTCTCCCTCCTCGAGATCCTCCAGAGCTTAACTTACGCCCGCACCGTCCATCAGACAGTTCATCACGTGCTCTTTCCAGGCGTCTTTTGTCCTGGAGAGAGTCTGAGTAGACAGAGCATTTCTCCTTCCCCAGCCCCACATTCTGATCACAAGCAAAGTGTGGGGCCGCAGAGAACTCACTGAGTTTTCTGGCTGAGGAGTTACACCCCAGAGACCCTCGTGGTGCCACTGCTGCACCACAGCGCTGGGGGGCGTGGCCTGGAAGAAGACTGAACTCAGCGCCTGCCTGGGGTGGGGGGTCTCCCCGCAGGACAAGGGGAGCCAGCTAGCACGTTCGGATGGCACTTGTGCATCGTGGCGTGGGAGGGTGGCACGAGCCTTCCCATGAGCTGAGCGGACGCGGCAGAAGGGACAGGCTAACCCGGAAGGAAGGCAGCTCCTGGGGTGCAGGAGCAGAGCTAAGGGAAGGAGACAGGAGCCCAGCTAGCGAGGGTGTCCCCCACATCGGGGAAAGCTGCTGTGCTAGGGACTCACCCCTGGAGAAGGCCAGCAACGGTGCCTGGCATGAAGAGACCACTCTGGACCACAGCACCACTGCCCCCTGCATCTCTCCTCTTCATCCCGACCCCAAGGAGCCCGGAACCGAGGCAGGAGGCTCCAGCCCAAACCTGGGAGGGCAGTGGCCAAGGCTGGACAGGGCTGGACCTCGCTCCTACACTTCTGGGCACACATGCCCCGACGCTGACAGGAGCCCCGGGCCCCCTCCTGGCATGGGGAAGGACACTGTGCCCTCCAGCTGCCTACTTCAGAAGCGGGGTCCTGGGCAGAAAGGAGGGGCAAGGCGATGGTCTCCATCTGGACGCAGGAAGGAGGCACCATCCTAACCATCCCTCAACGACACCACCTGTTAGGGAAGATTTCCCCTGGGCTCCTCCCAGGGGACTTGAAACTCGCTGTGTGTGGTATTGATCTCACCTTTGATTCCCAAATGCCCTGGAATGTCTGGCACAAAGAAAGTGCTTCCAAGATATTCACTGGATTGAGTTTAACAAGGAGCCCAGTGTCTGGAGACAGCTCTGGTGTTTTCAGCATCACAGAATCAGCCAGCTGTCTGGTTCTATCACCCTTTACAAGTGACAAAGGCATCCTGCCTGAAATCACTGTCTTGGAGGCGGGAGAGACTTTGGAGGAAGGAAATGTAGTTCCAAGTCAAGATCGTTACATACTTCAGTGTATTGGGGCCCAGATAAATCATAGTTGATACAATCTGAAATTCTCTCCCAAGCGTCCTTATATGAGCGATTCATCCTACAGCCATAACTCAGTTTTACATAGATGCACTTTTTTTGGTAAGTGCACGAACTTTTTTATGGGTCTTCCCCTCCACAGAGGATGCCTCAGCAAAGTGCTTAATAAATTGAGAGAACCATGTCAGCACATATTTTAGAGTGTAGACCCTTGGTGCAGTTTTGCACTGACCATAGCCATGGGTGAACTTTTGATCTTTGATCAAGTGGGCTTTTTTTTTTTTTTAACTCTTCCCCAAGATCCACAATACCTCTGGGTAACCTGGACCATATAAATATTTAACCAAGTTGTTCCACGTGGGATTTTCAAGTATGAATGATGCAATCTCCCTCGTAAGAAAAATCTATGTTCCCCTGATTTGCAGTCACAACCCACCACCCCTGCAGACCCACCCCCACCCCTCGCACACTGCCTTTTTCTTACCACACACACACTGTCTGGAGAGAGAGCCAAGGGACCTCCGGGGAGGAAACTGCGAAGAAACGGAATGTCTAAATAAAGTCAAGTCTTCTCAGAGCACCTCGCGTTCATTATTCAAAGAATATTTCACACATACTCTCTCGCTCTGCACAAAGCACACCTTCCCCGGTGGCTCGGAAAACTCACAGGCAGCCAGGCGTAATCAGTAGACATGCACATCCATAAATATCTGGTCCTTCAAGCCAGCCTCTAATGTAACTGCAGCGTTGGGAGGAAAATGCAAAGAATATTTAAACTTTAAACAATGTGACATCACCAAAACTAACGGGCAAGGGCCAGTCGGGTTCTCATCTAAAATGAAATGTAGTGTTGTTTGCAGAATCTTTACTCAAGTCCCTTCAGATTCTTCCCCGAAATAGATTTGAGTCTTTGCCTCTCGCTCTTGGCTTTGTCTCCAGACAGCTTGCACTGATGGCAAAAGGGGGCGTGGGTGCAGGGGGACGAGTTTTGACCATAAGGCTGGGGGTAATGGACTGATCCCATCCAAAGATGCTTTGGAAACAAGTTGGAAATGATCTTCTTAAGGATTTGGACACCTTAAGAGAAGCACATTCTATTCTATTTAAAACAGTCTTGCGAGGCAAGCAATCCATCCGTGGCTGGTTGTTGAGATTAGCAGGAACATGACCACCCAAGAGTGGCTCTCAAAGAGCCGGTGATACGGTTTCCGGAGGTGAAGAGCTGAGTTTATTGGTCCGAGGTTGGGGAGAGGTCAAGGTCCAGCCCTGCCATGTACTAGAGTTTGTGCCTTGCTGGACAAGTTATTCAAGGTCCGGTTCCTCATCTGTAAAATGGGGGTGAGCTTTGTTGGGAAGGGTAAGTGCAGAGGTACCCAGGGGCCTGGCACGTACCAGTTCCCTATAAAGGTAGGTTATTACCGTCACCCATAAATAATGCTCCGAGGTACCAGGTGACATAGCAAGTAAGTGGCACCGTCATTACATTCATGGAAGCTCAGTGGTGGAGAGATCGGGGCGACACAGAGAGGGAGGAAGGTGTCCACAGAGAAAACGTTGAGCCGTGACTACGATTTCAGAGATCTGGTTGCTAAACATCCCAACCATGACCCTCGCTCCTCCTTAGGCTTCGTTTATCCTACTCTTGGCCAGACGGGATGACTGTCTTGTAAAGGGTGGGGTTTGGGGCCGTCTGCTTCTGTTCTGCTGGCCTCTCCTCCCACCCTGGACACCACATCCCAGTGAGTGACTCGAGATGGAAGGGGGGCGGTCCTCAGGCTGCGCCCAGAGCGGGGCTGCAGAATGCTGCTGTGGCCTTACTGTGAGATGACCACCAGCTTCCTTTCCCGCCCGTGAGGAGGACCCAGAAGGATGGGCGGGCAGAGTGGGGAGATCCTTCCACACCTGCAGTTAGAATCTATTTGACCCATGCATTCCCACCCTGTGACCAGCCTGGGAAAGGACCCAAGTGGACCCTGCATGTCGTATGAATCCCGGATGAAGGGCTGGCTGGGGGTCGTGGTGCACAGCCATTTGGGGAGGGTCTGGGAGAGTCTGCGTTGGGTTCATTCCCTTTGTGCAACCTGCTTGTTGAGCATCTGCTGACAGGTCGTCCAGTTCTGTTAGGAGATGATGGGAAAGGTGAGTCAGAGCACATGGGGGCTCGAACAGGTGCCCAGGACGCTGGACATTACTCGGTGGACAATGTCCCTTCTGGCTTCTTACCACCGTCAGCATCCCATCAGTGATCATAGTAATGCAAATAACAACAGCAATACCTAGCATTGCCTGCAAGCTTAGCGTGGGGAGTTGTTTGAAGATTTTGCATGAATTAATCCTTCAGTCTTCAGTACAGTATGGGGAGAGAGTTCCATTTTACAGATGAGGAAACCGAGGTGCAGGAAGGTTAATGACGCTTCCCAGAGGCAAAAGCTCCAAGTGGCAGAGCGAGGCTCCCGGCTCTGCCTCTCCTGACAGTCCCCTCCCAAGTTCACATCACCTCCTCGGCCCCCTCCTTGCTCCCGATCGCGACCACCGCCCCGTGCTCTGGTCCTAACCCTCCACCCAGGTTTATCTCTACACCCGGCCCGTCTTCCCCATAGCCGCTCTCAGGGCTGGAAAGCAGTCTGACGGCCCCACCCCTGTCACAAAAGGTGGAACATCTCTTAGAGGCATCTTGTATGCTCTTTAACTATTCATCTGCTCCCATCAGCGGCAGCGCCTGCCACCTCCTTGGTCCCCCAAAGTAAACTCGGAGGCCCAGGGCTGTGTTTACTTCACACTGCGTTGCCTGGACATAGAGAGCGGGGCTCAGCACAGGCCCTGATGAGTCCTGGTATAGAGCCCGTGCCAGTGCAGTGAGCCAGCCCCAAAATGGTTCCTCTTTCTCAGGGATGTGGACATTTTCTTCTTTGAAATCCTCGAGTGACAGCAGCCAGATTCCTCTGCTCTTCCTGTACCTCTGTCCCCAGAGTCGTGTCCTCACACTTCCTCCCCACCTGGTATGTCTCCATAAAGGAATGAGGAGGCCCTGAAGCGACAGCCCCCCAGCAGCAGAAAGGCCTGTCATCGCCACCTTCGTGACCCCAGCCACTGAGGCTTCATGACCCCACAGACCAAGGCTGACCCCGGGGAAGAGAGGATATGGACATTTCAATGAACACAACTGAAATCTCAATGAAATGAACACCAAAGGCAATAGCCCAGAGTTCCCCAAAGGGAAGGGACTTTGAAGTCGGGGAGATCTGTGTTTTTACTACGTATTCTTTTTGTGCCGTTTGTGTCATACATAAAGCGTGTATAATTCCTGCTGTATTCGTCCAAGGAAGTACCAGCTGCTGTAACAAGCAACGGCAAGCCTTGGTGACTAACTTCTGTCTCAGGCAAAGCAGAGTGATTGTGTGGTTCTCCAGGTGGCTCTGCTCTGCCCTGCGGCACATGCTCCTCCACCAGACCTGCTGCCTTAACCAGCTGACTGGGGGAGAGGGGAAGCTAGAGAGGAGGGGGCCTGGGTCCAGCCTGGAAGAGGCGTACATCGCTTCAGCCACGTCCCCCATCTGGAAGTAGGGGGAGGAGGGGCAGGAAACATGGAAAACGAAATGATTTGGAGAACGCCTGCACTGTCTGCTTCTGTCTCGTCTACCTGACAGAACTGTGTTTATCAGAACAACACAAAGAGGCGATGAACAGGGTCCTGGCCCATGGTAGATGCCAAAATAATACATTTCCTTCTTTCTTTGCCTTTGGTGGTTGGTTGGGGCTGGACGGTTTCTAGAATGATGTCTGTGTGTAGATGAGCCCTAGGTCTTTTTTCGTTTTCTAAGGAGCTGCTAATGAGGCTTTTTGCTGCACTAGCCACTCATCAGAGGCCCAGGGGTGGGGCAGGGGTTCACCCTGATTTTCCGGAACATTTGGAAAGCTGTGCGCTGCGGACCACGGTGACGTGGGCTCCCACACCTCCATCCACCCCGTCAGCCACAGACACACGTCTGTCCTGCTCCGGAAGGAGACGGAGGCTCGGGTGACTGGATTCCGAATTTCCTCAGTGCAGATTAAAGAGGCTCAAGGAGTCTGTCTGTGCGGACGGGGCTAGGGAATGAGCTGTCTCTGGCTGAGAAGGTGTGACTCAGGGTAGAGTCAGCTGTTCCCTGCTGACTCTGGGAGGCTGGTGGGATGAGACACAGGGGAGGCGAGAGGCCCAGGCTCAGACTCTTCCCTCACCTCCCCTTTAATCCCTTCCTGCCCTCACCTGAGGCTTATTGATGTAGTAGGGGAGGGGATGGAGGGGGCTGTTGGCCAAGGACCCGGTGTCTTGGTGGCAGAGACAAGGTGCTGGTGAGGATGGGTGGCCTACAGGGCTTCAGACCACCTCCAGGGAGCAAACGGAGCTCAGTATCGGCAGACAATCGGCTGCACAGAAAAGGAAGAGAAGCAACTCAACACAGCTTGTGGGGGAGCCCATCCCCACCGTGGCCCATGGTTCGTTGTCTCTGAGAGTCTTCCTGCCAGGCTGAGGGAGCTTTCTGTGAGATTCACAGGTTACCGGCTTCCGGGAGGAGCCCCAGTACTTTCTCATCTTGGTTTGGGACATCCCGTTGCTATTGGTTGCAGCAGCATCCAACAGCAGCTGTCAGGTGTCCCTTCCATAACCGTGTGATAGGCCCTCCTCTAGGCCTTCAGACGCTCCCCCAGCCTTCCTTTCCCACTGTCTCCCAGATCCGCTCGCTCCCTCCTTTTAAGACTCATATTTCATCTTAAGCCAGATTTCTCTTTTCTCCATAATCGTGATGACTGGCCATCACCATGACAACCCTCCCACCCCGCCAGCCTCCTCTTAGGAATGGGCCCACAGGCAGGGGCTTGTCCTCGTCCTGTGTCAGTCAAAGTGAGTCACAGCTCAGCTTCCACCAGGATCAGCGCGGAGTGCACCTCCCATTTGTTTCCTCGTAGCTAGGATGACTCCAGCACTGGTGAGCTCTGGGTAGGGTAAGAAAATCCTTCCCTGGGAGCAGGAAATAGGTTATCTTCCTTTGGCGTTGGCTCATCCAGTGATAAAATGGGGCTGCTCTGGGTCCCTGCACAGCACAATTCCCACAATGCAAGATCATAAAGCATCTTAAAATATATATTTTTAAAACAAATACATATTTTAAATATATATTTAAATATAAATAGATATATATTTTAAATATATATTTAAATATAAATATATACACATATACATACACACTATATATATAACAATAACTGTTTTGAAGATTTTTTTCACACACATGATCAGAAACTACTCTGACAGGTGATTTGGCTCAAAAATTAAGCTAGCCGTAAATGCACAAAAGACGGGCATGAATGGAAGTCATCTCACAAACCTTGCTGTATCTTGTGGGAAGCAAACATACTGCACACATTTGACTTCTCAAGATATTATGAAGATATTTGTGGGGCAAAAATAGGTGTAGATTTAAATAAATTTTGTTAAAGTAACCATCTATAAATGTTTGCCCAGTGCGAAGGGGGAATGTTCCCTTGCTCAAAACTTGTATTCCTTAAGGAATCATTTTAAGAGAGTCAGCTAATT